TAATGGGGGAAAGAGTTTGACTCAAAGCTTGCCTCATCATGGAACTCAACTACCTTAGTTAATGGAGTCAGATATGTAACACAATAAAAACAACACCGCTTTCGGCTTTTTGACTTTTTTCCATTGACTTTAGTTAATTTATTATTTTCATTTTTTAATAAATAATATGGACACACATTAATATTTTTACAATAAATAAAAATATTAAATAAACTGAATCTGAAAATAATTGTAAGAAATTAAAATTTGGTATCAAAGAAATCTCAACTATTAATTTTAAACTTCTAATACAAATATTAGAAGAAACAATTCTCTTACCACTGCTCCGATGTCATATTATATTAGAATGTTTTTAGTAGAAGACTTAAACTTTTTTCCAACAATATCAAATTCATCCATATATGTATAACAAAATAAGACAAAAAAAAAACCTAATTATAATTAGATAACAACATATATATATATATAACAATAATTACACATATAAAACAACAACAATTATCATTGATTACATTTATAATAATCAACATATATTAGGTAAGATATGAAAAGACTTATGTCACACATCTAAACATTTAATTATCCAATTCATAATTTAAAACAATGAATATGTTATGATGCCACGTCTCACAGCCCCGTCAGTTTGGCAATAAATTGTTTCAGGTAAAATATTTTTTTTTAAATTTTATTTTAGTATTTAGGTTTTTATTTATTTATTTAGGCTGAAAAGCCTCACAAGTGGGCGCGGCATAAAACATTATTTTTGTACAGAGGATAGGATTATAGGAATAATTGAAAACAAAAGAGTTCATAACATGATAATGGGCCTATATCAAAAACATAATAAGGTTGATGATATATACACCTCCTTTTTTCTATAAGTACACCTCTTTTTTTTAAAATAATTAAAATTTTAAAATATTTTTTATTTTTTTATTTTGTATTTTGTATTTTTGTATTTTTAATTTTTTAATTTTTTAATTTTACATCCACAATATTTAATTCAATATTTTTTTTACACATTTTCTCTTTTTTTTTCTCAATTTTTACATGCACCCCCTTATCTTTCTTTTACCCCACCTATTTTAGTAGCATGTAAAAATTAAAAGAGAAAAAAAATATGTGAAAAAGAAGAAGAAAGTAACAAATTAAAAGTTAAAGGTACAAAATTAGAAAATTAAAAAAATTATAATATTTTATAATTTAAAAAAAAAATAACAAAGGAGGTATACTTATTAAAAAAAAGAGGTGTATATATCATGAGCCACATAATAATAGGCCAAATCCAACGGATATATTTGGGAGCCTATTTCACGGAGGCTTTAATTTTTTTTTAAAATATACATTGTACTTTTTTCAATGTAGCAAGTTATTGGGTTGGTCCAAACTAGACGGCGAATACCAAAATAGAAAAATAAAAGGCTAAATAAAAAAAAGTAGATTCATTTTGAAAAGAAAAAAAATAATGTAAATTAAAATGAACTTTTTTTATTTTTGTAATCACTTTTTTAAAATTGTACTTGTTGATAACGATTAAATTTGGAAAATATTTCTTTTTACAAAATTGATCATTTTTTAAATACTAGCTAAAAACCACTAATTTGTATTATATGCCTTTATATTACTTCTAACATTTTTTCATGCAATTAGGAATATTCAAATTGTCGATTTCTTTTCGTCTTAGTTTTTTATCTTTCCAAAACGAAAAAAAGGGAATCTTTAAATATATAACTTTTTTTACATCATTTTATATGTATCATATAGAAAATATTTCTTTTGTGCATCAAAAGAAATATGTATCGTGTAGCTAATTAATTGAGTTTGTTAAATACTTTCGATTCAACCATTTGGATTAAATAAGTTTTCATTTTAAATGTGTCAAAAAAAATTTCATTTTTAACAAATTAATTATGTTAAACATAACTTTACTTTTATTTTTCCGTTATTTTATACTAAAATAATATTATATTAAATGAATACACTTTCTTTAAAGTGACGGACTAATTAAAATATTTGATTCATTAAATCTAAAAAATTAATTTGGAGATTTACTCGCTCGTGACTGAGCATGTTTGGCGAGGTTTCATCTAATCATACAAAATCTTTAATTTTGTATTTTCTTATTATTTTAAAGAAAAAATAGGCGAAGAGAATTTTATATCCAATCTACATGAGACTTGTCAATATTAAACATATAATTATATAAGAGTTAGTGACTACAATTATTATTTTGTTACCTATATAAAAACATGGTGTAATTATTTTTTACACATTTTTCATTTTTAATATATTGTATTTTTTGTTTATCTAAAAAAAAACCTAAATGTGTTCGGGTTCGGGTTGACCGTATCAAGGAAGGGCCTCAGGATCAGGATCTCCGAAACATACTTCACATGACCATTATGAGATGGGTTATCTAAAGGAGTCCATGTCATCGGAACATCGCATGAAAAGATCCAAAAGTACATATTTAGATCAAGTTATTTTATTAAAAAAAAAAACTCTAAAGCATGTAATTACTTTTTTAAAAAACAATTTATAATATTAAAAAATTTAAATATCACGTCAACTTCATATATGATTAATATAAAATATCGAAGTGAAAGATAATTTTTAATTTATAAACCGATTTTGTAGAATCTTATTTAACTCAAATTCACTATTTAATATAACATCAAAATTATTTATATCTATTATAAAGAGTTACTTACCATTTATTTGTACACCAAGTTTTATAGTATTTAATGTGAAAAAAAATATAAATCTCACATTAATTATAAATAATATGAAATATATATATATATATAAGTAAAATATATCGCTCATTTTATTTCAAAAGTTGTGTCTTGAACTTGAATCACATGTTTTTGATCGGAGCACGGCATGTAATCTTGTGTTATTGACGAAAAGTTGATTGCTTCCTTATTGTCTATTGAAGATATACGATGGAAGATTATGGCTATAATCACATTTTGCATTCTGCACAAGCACAAGCTACTATGCATGTGTTGAAGTAAGCTACGTAATTCAAGCATGTTTTTTGTTTTACACTTATTATGGTCACAATTGTATAGTCTTGATACAATCCAAGTTGTTAACTGACTGTTTCAAGAGCACGTATATTTGCACAGTTATCACAAGTGGCATATGCCATGTCTCTAACTTGTGCTTTAGTTTGTTAATTAAAGTTGATTCGTATAAAACCTGAATGAAATATGGCAGCTTGTACATTGCTTCCATAAAGGAGAAAAATCAGAAGAAGATGACGAAAACTTCCATTATTTCATTAATCTATAAATATAGTACGATTACACGTACTTGCTTCATAAAAATGAGAACTGCATTAATGCATTGCATGGTATAGTGTACATATTTTTAACAACATATTTAAATTCAAAAACCTCCATCACCACCAAAGCCACCGCCCCCACCAGCACCACCTCCAAAACCGCCACCAGCGCCCCCACCAGCACCCCCACCTGCACCACCACCAAAGCCTCCACCGGCACCACCACCTGCACCTCCACCACCACCAATGCCTCCTCCTACACCACCACCCTTGCCACCTCCAAAGCCTCCACCAGCACCTCCACCTGCGCCGCCACCTGCACCACCACCAATTCCTCCTCCAACTCCACCACCGTGTCCACCTCCTAGACCACCACCAGCACCTCCACCACCACCAATTCCTCCTCCTAGCACCTCCACCACCACCAATTCCTCCTCCTACTCCACCACCGTGTCCACCTCCAATTCCTCCACCAGCACCACCACCAGCACCACCTCCAACACCTCCACCACCACCAACTCCACCACCATGTCCACCTCCAATTCCTCCTCCTACACCACCACCTTTACCACCTCCAAATCCCCCACCAGCACCTCCACCTGCGCCGCCACCACCACCGATTCCTCCTCCTACACCACCACCATGTCCACCTCCAATTCCTCCACCTACACCACCACCTTTACCACCTCCAAAACCTCCACCTGCACCTGCACCACCACCACCTCCAATGCCTCCACCAGCACCACCACCAGCTCCTCCTCCAATGCCTCCACCGTGTCCACCTCCAACTCCTGCTCCTCCACCAAAACCTCCACCGGCACCAATTCCCCCAAAGCCATCATCTAACTCATTCTCTTTTACTTTTCTGCATTCTGTCACTGCTATAACCAACACAAATGCCAGAGCAAGTACTCCAACATACTTTTGTAGTTTTCCCATATTTGCACAAAGAGAGAAAATACAACTCAAAATGCTTGCTATGCTTGTAATGAGAAAGCTTGAGTAGGTCTTATTTATAGAGTGAACAAGAACATACTACCATTAATACACGTAGACTTATGCATCAAACACCGCCAAAAATTCAAACTTGTTTGGAAGACAAATATATTGGCAGGTGAAATCTTAATTGCTATGTCCCAACTATCAACTACTTTATTTTAGTGTTTAACAACAATAGCAGTAATAACAATTAACAAATTAATATGTTAATCTGTTGCCAAGAACAAATGAATGGAGCTTAGCCCGGGCCATTGTCGGAATTGTTTAGCTTTTTTTGGGTTTCTATAATAGTAATGCTACAGTATAATAAATCGTAGAATAGGGAATTAAATATAAAGATAAAAAAAAATATTTATTCAAAAATTTAATATATTAAAATAATAATTAATAATACTTATATTTTTCTTTTATTTTCATACCAACGTCTTAAGACATCATCTTATACTAATTTAATTCGATAAAAAATAAGTAAAATTTGATAAAAAAATTATTTTTTTTCGAAGATCAAATTTAATTATTGTCCAAATAAATTGACTTTAAATTCAATACATTAATAAATAATACTTATTAAAAATTCAAGTTAGAAAAATGAGAATATTTCAATAATTAGAGGTTCAGAAAAAGTCATAAGTTTTTTATCCTTGAAAAAAATTAGAAAAGGACAATAAGAATTTGTTCTCATACATCTATTTTGAACTCTTCTCTATAATAAATTAATATCGTACTAACATCTCTTTAAAAGAGGAGATTTTATTTATTTATTTTTCAAATCAATTAAGCAATGTGTTTTTTAAATAATAAAAAGGAGATATTCAAATAATACTTATCATATAATAAATATCAATAATATATACGCGCTGTATTTATTGAATGCAACAATTTGATGCATGAAACATACTCCTTATTTTATAGTCAAGAATCAAGATCTAGAAAGAAAGAAAAACAAAATGTGCATATACAGTTGCTTGTGTGAAGATCTAGAAGTTAAATAAATCGAATGCTCGACGTAACTGGTCGAGTGGTCAAGGATCCAGAGCGATTACGTTTCTCCTATTTTGCGGTCTGAGTAAAAACTGTACGTAGAAAAATTTTCTACAAGTGACTGCGATTGGCAGATAGCAATTATGAAGTGTTGAAGACTCAAACGTCTTTATACTGCTTTTGTCATCCAAAACTAGCAACCTTTCCCTAACATGTGTTTTATTTGTCGGTACAAAACCATATATGGGATTAGCATGTGATGTGAGCTAGATTTTCAGCCATCTCAGTATCAAAATAAAGTTCACAACTGTAAGTGTTTAGCCTAGTTTTAGGAACACAGCATTCCTCGACGTTTAGCTACCCCAGCACATGCAGAAGTCGCTTCATAAATACATAGTACCAGGCGCATTAATTACGTTTAGATATTCCACAAACTTTAATATTAAAAAGCAGCTTATCTTAAAGTCAAATTTGATTCAAATTTTACTTGATTTAACTCTACGCGAACAAATATTGAAATAATGGATTTTAGAAGAAAAAAAAACTAATCTATGTTTGAAATGATCATCCAATCGCTTTTAGATCTGTAGTTTGTTTATTTGCAATTACTTTTCTTGTTATGGCTAACTTTGGTTAGTTTAATTAGTATCATCTTTTTACCTTAGTTTCCTATTCAATAAAATCATTCGTATATTATATATATAAAGCTTTTAAATTGTCGAAAACTGAACAATTTGAAATCATAAATTCACATTATATAATGAATTATTGTGTATCTCTATTTTTTTTTCTCCCTAAAACTACGTGGAGTTATATTTCTCATTATTTTTCTTCCTAGGGACAGAGGATATGGGACATGTTTAGCGAGATAGTCATTTTATCAGTGTTTTAAAACCCGGACCGACCCGGCCGGTCGAAAAAGTGTAGGTATAGACTATAGTGACTATCGCAACCCGAAAATTTTCGATCTCACGACTAAAGGTTTAGACATCCTTTTAAAGATCTCATTAATTAAGGAATGTCCGGACACCAGACTAATCCTTAATTAATGGTTTTGAAAATAGGTTCATGGAGTCGCCACCAATATTTTACTCAAAACATTGGAAAAAGAAAAGGTTTTTAAAGATCCAACAATGGCCTTGATAACCAGAATT